GCAGTAGGTACCGTTACATGCACCCTTCAAGCACGCTAAGCAGCAGGCAAGTCTGCTGTGCTTGCTTATCGTGAGCGCAGGAACGGGTAGCAGCAGCAGGCAATTTGGTCAAAGTGGCTGCTGCGACGAAGAACGACCTGATCCGCACTCACCTTCCACTCCACAGTCACGCGTAGATGCGCTTGCGATTACACTGCCATCCACTCGAGCCTGTTTGCAAATCCTTGCTCCGGCAAGAGGCAGGCTTAGCCAACTTGCGGACAAGACGCCAATCGGAGTGCAATCGTCATCAGATTCCCGCTAAAGAATGACGCTGCGCACAGGCTAGCACATAGGGGTGGGTTCAAGGCAACAAGACTACGGGCAAAAGAGTGGGTCAAGACTGCATTCTGGAAGGCAAGGGAGATTGTTCGAAGCTGAATCCTGTCTTGATGGGGAATGACGAGGACGCTTTTAAGGAAGGTGATGATGAAGAGAGCGTGGGGATTGGATGCATGAGCGACGTGGGTGAGTCGCAAGCTGGCGGACGGAGCGGCGACATGGGCATCGGAATGGCCGATAGCATCCTTCTGAACCAGCACGTCAAAGATCGATGCTCTGAGAAGGTCTTGAGAACGAAGCGAGATAGCCGATGGATCATTCGCTAAGGCCTTTGCTCGTCGTTGTGGCGAAGTAATCTGCTCTTGAGCAATTGTCGAGCCAAGCCTCTCGTCTTGGGTCCTCGCTTGCCGAGCCAAGAAGTTCTTCCATGCTCCTCGCGCTTGACAGGAGGTGTGCCGCTGGTCTCTTGGCCCGACTTTGTGTCTTTGCCGTCCGAAGCTTTGTATCCAGCAGTACTGCCGTCAGGTCCGCCAGCGCCTCCTCCGCTTCCAGAACCTCCATTCGAGCCGCCTCCCCCTCCTCCGCCTCCATTCGCATTTGCCAAACCACCACCACCGGCTGCAGCATGGCTGACCGTCTCTTGAGTAGTGTCTGCTTCGGCGTAGGGAAGATCGCCGTTGGAACCGGAGCCGGAGCCGGTACC